GTTTGCTTTAAACCAGTTTAGGTTGAGTTATTTGACACTAGCAGCTGAACATGTTCTGACTCATTGTATTCCTTATGGTAAATAATGCCGGCTACTTTAAGAGACAACTTTCCCAAATTCATGGCTTTACAGTAAATGTTTGTTTTCTCATTCATATCTCAGTCTAATGGCAATTGTTGGGAGGGCTCAGCTCCAGGTGGTCCTTAAAAGACTGGGCTTGTTTTTTGTTTTTTTTTGAATGTCTTGACCTCTTCCAGGTTCTCGTAGTTTTCTCCATGTAGGTAGTAGATGGATACAGAAGATAAAGAAGATATGATTGTGGAAAATTTTTATGGGCCAGGCCTGGGAGTGTTGCATTTCACTTTCTCTCATACTCATAGGTTAGAATTCAGTTCCATCAAACTGCAGGAAAGTCTAGAAAATACAATCCAGTTACGTACCAGGAAGTGAAAAAAGACAGATATTCACAGGCACTAACAGTACCTGCCACAGTCTAAACTCCTCATCACGAAGTATCTTTTAGCTTCCTTCTGCTCATACACTAACCACACTCATCCCTCTGCAAAAGGACGCAGCCATGTCATTCTGTCTGCGGCCTCCTGGTGATGTTACCTTACCTCTGTCAAGCCTGTATACAACTGGCTGCTTTGATTTGATTACCTGTGAATTAAAAAGACACGAAATCTAGTTTCTCCTTTTCCACACAAACCTTATTTGTAAGATGGAAAGGGGGGCAATAAAAACTCCTATTCAGGGAGTGAAAAAATGGAAAGCATTTAAAAATTCTACTGGGCACACATTCAAGAAATTTATTTGATTAGACCCTGATTCTGCTCTTTCAGAAGAACTCCCTTGTCAATTTTTTCCCTTGGCCTCTGATTCACCTTCCCTGAAGTTGCTCCTTGTCTATCATCCACCATGGTTTCGTCTAAAGAGGGGATTGAGAAGCATCCTATTCGTGAGGATGTACCAGTCAGTACCTCACCGAAAAACAGATGGTATGCTCAAATTAGGATAATTTAAGGGGGATTTACTTATAACAGGACTATGTACAGAGGGGTGGGAAGGGGAAGGGAAGCAACAAGGATAACCCACGCTTAGTATCTGTTGAGCTTTTGACACCCCTAGGTCCTAGAGTATGAGAGAACAGAGTGATTAGCAGAATCCAGAAAAAAAAGAGTCTCTTGTAGAGAAGCTCATTCTGCAAGTTTTGGCCCTTAGGAATGATGGACATCCAGCCTAAGACAACCATGCTGGTAGGGAACCAGGGGAACAAGCAGCCTAACTTCTCCTCTTGCTTTCTTCCAGTCTCTTGGTAGGAGAGATTACTCCTTGGTGGCTGCCCTTCTGTTTTCTTCTTCCTCTTGCTTCTCTCACCCTATCTTGCTCTATGAGGGCATACAGGAAACAGAAAAGAGAAATCTTACATGATTCTTCTTTTGGAGGAATCATGCATGATGGCGTGCATGGCAATTCTACTTTTAATTCTGAAAAATATTATAGATTAATCTTAGAATAAAGAGATTGTCTAAATATAAAATGTAAAGAAACATGAATTAAAAAGGAAAAACAGATGTAGCATTCCAGAATTGACTATGTGATGAAAATATGGTGCGAAGTTAGGTGTTCAAATAGAGAAGCTGAGAGTTTACAGACAGGGCCATCTTTGAGATACATTGATTTGATCGCCACCTAATTGTTTTAATCATGCTTCTCTTTGGTTAGTTTCACATAGTTCATGTCACATCTAACCTCTCACAAAAAAGACACAGATTATGATTCATCTACTTCCAATTAGCATATTTATTTCTGCTAGCTGAAACACTTCTGACACCCTGTGAAAAGGAAATTCTTGAAAAATTTTTGCACATAGCAAGTCTGTCCACTTGGAAACACATTTGCGTACTTTATATTTTTATATGTTTTTCAGTTTAAAGTGCTTTACAAATATAATTTCAATTAATCTTCTCAACACTATAACATAGTTAGTGTGATTTCTATTTGCACTAAAATGAAAGTGAGGCTTGGAGTGGTTAAGTTACCAACCCAAGGATTCGGGAAGGTGGTTATGGATCCAGGCCTCCCCTGCACTTGTACTTCCTGATATCAAACTTTGCAGCACAAACTTGTCTCATTGTCCAGAATGCACGATGCGTCGCAACATCCAGAAATGTCTCCAGAATTGGGATATCAGCCTGCCCCAGACCACACTATTAGTATTAGATCTGCCCACATTTGCCAGTCTTAATTCTTTCTTCTGTGGAGGCTGCTAGACCTGCTTCTTGGGTCTCTCTGTCAGCAGGCAAAGAAACAAATCAATTGTCACTTCTTTAGTGCCATGCACATGGTATTCTTTCATTAAATGCCATTAAACTGAACTTAAAATTCCCATGGAAAAGTTAGCACAGGGCCACATTTTTACAAAGAGCGTCTCTCTCTTTCTCTTGCTTATGTGGATCCTGATCATAGAATTCCTCAAAAAACTTTTCTACTCCCATTGTGTATAGGCCACAATTTTTAGCTTTATATTCAGTACTCTGAAAAATCTCATTCAAACCTTTCTTTTCAACTTCAATTTTTACCACCTTTGGGAACATCTTATTTTCTACTCCAGCCAAATGTCTCCCAACTATATCATAGAAAAGAAATCAAAGTCCATGATTCCAGAATTTTGCTTATTCCCATGCCTCCTGCAGGAACATCCTCCCCTCTGAACTCAACCAGAATGCCTGAGTTTCTCCAGGGACTAAGGACAGTTATTATTTTCTCTCCTTGTATCAGAGTTCAGCCTAGAAAGCAAAAACCACCCCAGATACTTTCACAGAAATGGATTAAATTCAGGGAAATAGTCAGGAGAGCTGGAAGATCAGGAGGTTGCCTCTCAGTTATTGATTGTAAGGTCACACCATTTTAGCTGCAGTTCAGCAGTGAGGAAGTTACTGCTATAGGAGCTTCTTGTGGTCACCAAGCTGGTGACGATGCATTCAAATGCAAAGTAAAGATGATTTTGATCAAATTAGTGATTAAGTGCCATAATCTTTTGCAGATTTAATTGTGAACCGGTGGATTGGAGAGAACATTTAACTTCGATTTGATTCTTTATTATTTAAAAATAGTTTAGTAACAAAAGTAATGAATTCTAAGTGGAGAAAATACTCAAACAATACAGAAATTTATCCTTTCAGGACCTCCCCCATTGAAGTCCACATCCCTGAGGTGACCATGGTACATAACTGGCTTCCAGCTTTCAAATCTTATTATGGAAATATACTATAAATACACACATACACCCCTGCCCCCAACACACACACACACACACACACACACACACACACACATACACACACACACACAGTATTTCTGCCCCCAAACAGGATTATATTATAAACATGACATTGACAATTGTATTTGCCACTTCACTACGTAGGACCTCTATCTCTTTCAGTGTGTATTTTAAGGGCAGTGTAGTATTCCATTCTGCATGGTGCTTTACATTCAGTTTCTCATTTTTGTATTATAATTCACAGTTTGCAAAGCATCTTCATATTCATCATGTCATAGCTGAAAGCTTTGTTCAAACAAATCTGGGCTCAATTCAATAAAAAAGAAGGAATCAACAATCACTTTTCACATTAGTACTCTATGTACATATGACCTAAGAACCCAGAGGGGACTTACTGGCATGGTCTGGATTTGTTGGTATTTTAAAACATTTTTGTGAGTGACTCAATCAGCGAGAGAGCCAATGGAAATAAGGTTTCAATTTGTTTCTTCTTCTTCTGTGATCCCATTGAGTTCCTGAGCACCAGTGATGAAGGGTAGATTGAATTAGACAGCCTAAGTTTGACCAGAAGACTAAATTTCCCCTGGTGACTTCATCTGAGCTGTGACACTTTCCCTGATTTCATAGGGAGCTCCTTGGGGACTGAGAGTGAGTTGAAAAGCTGGCTCAGTGTTTGCTGAGAGTAAATCTACTTTATGAGGCAGCTATATGGGGGAGGGGAATGTTATTTTAACACCTCTCCTACTCAGTGCTCTAGTGGAATGCTCAAGGTCCCAGCCTCTTTTTGTGCTATTTAAGCAGCAAATGATTTTTTACACCAGGAAGACTCAACTCCTTTAGAAAAGAATATTCTTTGTATTCCTATACCCTTTACTAGAGATTCTTAAGATCCTTCCTGATGCAAAGTGCAGAGTTGTCCATTCAGTACCATTTGACCATCTCTCAAATAGCCTGGTGTTTAGTTTCAAGCCATTCATCATGGCTTGAAATACAACATAAGAGGAGGCAAAAGTCCTAAAAGGTGTTTGTCATACTTGAAAAACACACATAGCATACCTGAAGGGGCCCTCTCTATCTTCTATCTTCTCTTGCTTTCTTTCATTGGCCCAATAGCAAGCAGTAGTGATACACAACTCTGGCCCTCCCAAATCTCATGTCCTTCTCACATTGTCAGAGGCATTTAAACTAGAGCAACTCCATCTTGAATAGGGTCTGGGTAAAATGATGCTGACACCTACTGGGCTGCATTCTCCTTTGCCCACTTTTTGATGGGGTTGTTTTTTTCTTGTAAATTTGTTTGAGCCTAATACCATAAAAACCCTAGAGGAAAACCTAGGTAGTACCATTCAGGACATAGGCATGGGCAAAGACTTCATGTCTAAAACACCAAAAGCAACGGCAGCAAAAGCCAAAATTGACAAACGGGATCTCATTAAACTAAAGAGCTTCTGCACAGCAAAAGAAACTACCATCAGAGTGAACAGGCAACCTACAGAATGGGAGAAAATTTTTGCAATCTACTCATCTGACAAAGGGCTAATATCCAGAACCTACAAAGAACTCAAACAAATTTATTCCTTTACTTTCTTAACAAACTTGCTTTTACTTTACTCTGTGGAATGATCTTGAATTATTTCTCACATGAGATCCAAGAACCCCTCTGGGGGTCTGGATTGGGACCCTTTTCTGGTAAGAGCATCGAAAAATACAATCATACCTTCCCAATGGCCATCCAAAGTCTTGATTCATTCCAGTGTGAATTCAAAAGTCTAAAGTCCCAGTCCAAAATCTTATCTGAGACTCCTCTCCTTCTACCTATGAATCTGCAAAATGAAAAACAAGTTAGTTATTTCTGAAATAAAATGGGGGTATAGCCATTGGGTAAACATTCTTATTCCTAGAGGGAGAAATCAGAAAAAAAGAAAGGGGCTACAGGACCCATGCCAGTTCAAAACCCAGCAGAGCATCCATCTTAAAGCTCCAAAATAATCTCCTTTGACTCAATGTCCCATACCCAGGGCACACTGCTGCAAGGGGTGGGCTCCCAAGGCCCTGGGCAGCTCTGCCCTTGTGGCTTTGCAGGGATCAGCCCCAGGGCTGCTCCTGCGTGTTGGAGTTGAATGCCTACAACTTTTCCAGGCACCAGGTGCAAGCTACAGGTGAATCTACCATTATGGGGTCTGGAGGATGGTGGCACTACTTCACAGTTCCACTAGGCAGTGCTCCATTGGGAAATCTGTGTGGGGGCTCCAATTGCGCATTTCCCCTTGGCACTGCCTTAGTAGAAGTTCTCTGTGAGGACTCTGCCCTTGTAGCAGACTACTGCCTGGGCACCCATGCTTTCTCGTATAGCCTCTGAAATCTAAGCAGAAGCTACCACGCATTCTTCACTCTTGAACTCCGCACACTCACAGGCTTAACACCACATGGAAATCACCAAGGCTATGGCTTGAGCCCTCTGGAGCAGTGGCCTGAGCTGTACCTTGTCTCCTTTGAGCTGAGGCTGGAGCTGAAGTGGCCAGAATGTGGGGAGTAGTGTGTGAGGCGGGGCAGGGCAGCAGGGCCCTGGGCATGGCCCACAAAACCATTTTTCCCTCCTAGGTCTCTGGGCTTGTGATGGGAGGGGCTGCAGTGAAGGTCTCTGAAATGCCTTTGAAGTCTTTTCCCAAGTGTCTTGTGTATTAGCACCTGGCTTCCTTTCAGTTATGCAAATATTTCTAGCAAGTGGTTGCTCCACAGCCAGCTTGAATTCCTCTCCCGAAAAAGCTTTATCTTTCTCTGCCGCATGACCAGGGTGCAAATTGTCCAAACTTTTATACTCTGCTTTCTTTTTAAATATAAATTCCAACATTAAGTCATGTCTTTGCTCCTGCATCTGAGGCTAGGTTGTTAGAAGCAGCCAGGCCACATCTTGAATGCTTTACTGCTTAGAACTTGATTCCACCAGATACCTTAAATCATCACTATGAAGTTCAAACTTCTACAAATCCCTAGAGCAGGAACACAATGCAGCCAACTTCTTTTGCTAAGGCATAACAAGGGTGACCTTTGCTCTAGCTCCCAATAAATTCCTCATTTCCCTTTGAGGCCCCATCAGTCTGGCCTTCACTGTCCTTATTTCTATCAGCATTTTGGTCACAACCACTTAACAAGTCTCTAAGAAGTTCCAAACTTTCCCTTGTGTTCCTGTCTTCTTCTGAGCACTCCAAACTCTTCCAACCTCTGAGTAATTCTTTGGAATTACTCAGTTCCAAAGGCACTTTCACATTTTCAGGTATCTTTATAGCAATGCCCCACTTCTCATTACCAATTTTCTTTATTATGCTGTTCCTGCATTGCACAGAATACCTGAGAATGGGTAATTTGTAACAAAAGAGATTTAATTACCTCACAATTCTGTGGGCATTACAAGATGCATGGTGCTAGCATCTGCTCAGCTTCTGGGGAGGCCTCAGGGAGCTTACAATCATGATACAAGGTGAAGGGGGAACAGGCATGTCACATTAGGAGAACAGGAGCCAGAAAAGGGGAGAGCAAGGTGCCATATACTTATTAACAGTCCGATCTCGTGAGTGAGTCACTCACTATTGTGAGGATTAGCACCAAGAGGATGATGCTAAACAGTTTATGAGAAATCTCTCCCATAACTCAATTGCCTCCCACCTGGTTCCGCCTCCAATACTGAAGATTACAATTCAACATGAAATTTGGGTGGGAACAAATATACAAACTTTATCAACAATGGGGAAAAGGTTCCCTATTCAATAAAACGTTCTGGGATAGCTGGCTAGCTAGAAGCAGAAGATTGAAACTGGACCCCCTACTTTAGATCATATATAAAAATCAACTCAAGATAGATTAAATACTTAAATGTAGCCAGGTGTGCTGGCTAATCCCAGCACTTCGGGAGGCCAAGGCAGGTGGATTGCCTGAGGTCAGGGGTTCGAGATCAGCCTGGCTGACATGGAGAAACCCCGTCTCTACTTATAATACAAAAGAAAAAATTAACCAGGCATGATGGCAAGTGCCTATAATCCCAGCTACTCGGGAGGCTGAGCCAGGAGAATCGCCTGAACCCAGGGGGCAAAGGTTGCAGTGAGCCGAAGTCACGCCACTTCACTCCAGCCTGGACGAAAGAGTGAAACTCCATCAAAAAAAAAAAAAAAAGTAAAACTTAAAATTGTAAAACTCTGGAAGATAACCTAGGAAATACAATTCTGGGCATAGGCCATGGCAAAGATTTTATGATGAAAACACCAAATGTAATTGCAACAAAAACAAACATTGATAAATGAGACCTAATTAAACTAAAGAGCTCCTGCACAGCAAAAGTAACTATGAACAGAGGAAACAGACAACCTACAGAATGGGAGAAAAATATTTGTGCGCTATATATCCCACAAAGACCTAATATCTAGAATCTGTAAGGAAATTAAACAAATTAACAAGCAAAAACGAAACAACCCCATTAAAAAGTGGGCAAGGACATGAACAGACACTTTTCAAAATAAAACATACATGCTGCCAACAAGCAAATGAAAAAATGTTCAACATCACTAATCATTAGAGTAATGCAAATCAAAACCAAAATGAGATACTATCTCATACCAGTTAAGAGTGGCTATTGTTAAAAAGTCAGAAAATAACAGATGCTGGTGTGGTTGTGGAGAAAAGGTAATGCTTGCACACTGCTTGTGGGAATAAAAATTAGTTCAGTTGTTGCGGAAGGAAGTTTGGTGATTTCTCAAAAGAACTTAAAACAGAACTACCATTCCACTCAGCAATCTCATCATTGGGTATATACCCAAAGGAATATAAATCATTCTGCAGTAAAGACATATGCATGCATAGGTTCATTGCAGCACTATTCACAATAGCAAAGAAATGCAACCAACCTAAACGCCCCTCAGTGGGAGACTGGATAAAGAGGATGTGGTACATATACAGCATGGAATACTATGCAGTCATAAAAAAGAACAAGATCATGTCCTTTGCAGGGACGTGGATGCAGCTGGAGGCCATTATCCTAAGGGAACTAACATGGTAACAGAAAACCAAATACTGCATATTCTCACTTATAAGTAGGAGCTAAACATTTAATACACATGGACAAAAAGAAAGGAACAATAGACACTGGGGCCTGCTTGAGGGTAGAGGGTGGAAGGAGCATTAAGATTAAAAAAACTGCCTAATGGGTACCATGCTTATTATCTGGGTGACAAAGTAATCCGTACACCAAACCCCTGCGACACACATATAACAAACCTGCATATGTACCCCTGAACCTAAAATAAAAGTTTTAAAAAAGGAAGGAAGCAGAAAATTTAGTGTGTGGTCAAAAATGCTCAGAGAACATTCCAGGCCTTTCATATGGGAAGAAGGGCCGGACAAAGGAAGTGAATGAACATCAAAAGAAGGGTGGAAGGAGAGAAGTATGTGAACTGTGGTGGCAGCTTTGATGATGACTTCACAATTCCCAAAGACTATCTGTGTGTGGGTGTGTCATATCCATGTTGGAAAGGGCAGAATTGTGTGTGAAACGCTCTTTCTAGTAACATTGTAACATCTCAGGATGACAGGACTTGAATTGTTTCACTTTGACTAAATGTGCAGAAGAGAAAGCTGCCTGGAGACTATTGTATTACACACAGCAGTGAGGATGGCTTATGCTGAAAGGTAGGAAGTGTGATAGATGAGAACAGCACTGGTGGCATTTTGCCAGCTCGCGATAAGTATCTGGCACATCTGCAGCATCACCAAGAGGTCTCTGATTTAGCAAAAGCATCATAAAGATATTTGGTGTCATAAAAGTAACACTTTATTTAACCTTCTGTACAAACTTTAGGAGCATTAATCTGTCACAGTAGGCTCCATCTTGTACATGTAAATGGATGAGACTCTGTAATCAAATCCTAAATGTGTATTTGTAGCAATACGGCTTTTCAGAAGAATGTATGATGGGAAGCAACAGACGGAGCAGGGGACAATTAAAGAGAGAGCACCGTGCTCCACGAGACCTTTTACTCCCTGAATGGACTTTCCCAGGACTGCACTGATTTCTGAATTTTCATCTTTATTTACCAGCCAGCATAACTTTATTGGGACCCCACAAGGCCTCTCCTACTCTATCACCTGCAATGGAGACTCATTTAGGCAGAGAGAAACCTCGCAAGTATGTGATTGAAGGAGCATTCTGATTTCCTTTCAATACCAGTTCCAATTACGGATTGCAGATCTGTGTTCAAAATAGTTTGGGTCTGAGAATGGTCCTAAAGAGAAAATGCTTTGTGATTCTTAGACTTGAAAAGGGCAGGCCGCAGCCTCAGGTCTTGGGATTTCTGTTTAGGGCTGTTCCCACCCATATCGCCCCAGAGAGGCATTTACAGATGTTGCCAGGCCCACTGGATATCTGCCAGTCTGTTTGGAGCTTATGATTTATTGAGACTTAAATTTCAGGAACTAGAAACAAATTCCTCTTGACCAAAACCAAAAACCTTAGATTGCTTTTGTATAAAATATTCATTGTCGGGGGTTGGGGCAGAGGAGAAAGGAAAAGCTTTAGATTTGACTTCAGATCAGAAGAACAAGAATGCATTAAACGATACTGATGTGAATAATATCAGCACATTTTCTTTTTAAAAATCTTTGTAAGATTTGCATATGTATTTATTGTGCAAAGCATATGCATCTTGCCTGGAATATATTTCATTGTGTAGCATATGGTTCCTTTCAGCAAAGGATCTTAAATGACTTTAACAGAAAGAACTCCTCCTTTCATTCACTCCCAGAGAGAAAGGTGCTATTTAAGAGGCAATAACTCTTTCCTAAGGGCTCCACTTAGGCCCTTAGTAACCAACTTGTAACTTGCATGCCCATC